GCAGATGTGAGGACAGCTGGCGGCACACAGAATACCATCGGCCCAGTCTCCCTCAAAAACTCGAATGTGTGGGTGTCTGAATGTGCAGCAAGCAAACCTGCACCGCGGAGCCGGCGCCCCCTTTTCCTACCAGCTTCTCCCCGCACCCCACCCCCCGCACACACATGGGGGTGGCGGAAGGATTCCGCATCCTTTGCGGCCGCGGTGCTCAGACACACAAGTTCATGGTTGCTGATCCGACGGGTGAGGAGTGGGTGCTACCGGCTGGAACGGTGCCACTGGCAGGGCAGACAGGAAAATAGGAATGCTCTTAATGTCCTCCCAAAGAAAACCTTTGACGGACAAAAGAGTGGTTGTATTTTTACCCTCTCCCTTCATGCTGCCAGGCGTCTTTAAATAGATCCTCTAGCCTAGGGACTTGTATGGAATAATTCATATTAAAACCCAAGAAGTGGCAGAGGAGGGGAGTTGGTTCTTTTCTTCTCTTTCTTTCCTTTCTCCACTCCCCCCCCCGCCCGCCCCCGCCCTTGTCAAGTGAACAGGAAAAGACTCATTTTAATTCAGCTGTGTTAAATTTCTCCTTCTGGGTCTTTTAATGAACTTTAGCTAATTCGGAAAAGACGACGAAAACCCCCAGGAGAAGAAAAGGGATAGGAAGCGGCATTGTAGATGGCTCTTTGATACCTTTTGGTTCCAAGGACATGAGTGGCATCTTTTAATGATGCCGCACAGAGCGGGTGACCCCAGGCTCTTAAATGGGAAGGTCTAACGGAGAAGTCCCAGTGCCTTCCATTAGCAACTCCTAAACCAATGGGCTGTTCTGCTGTTGAAAGAAAAAAAGGGAAGAAAAAGTCTTCCCCAGTTTTCCGGCCCCACACATTTGTACTTGGGCTCCGGCTAGGATCCGTTTTCTCCCGTCTCCCTCTCTCCCCAAATGGGTTTCCAAAAGACCTTCAGGCCCCAGTTAGCCAAATTCAAAACCCCGTCTGTCCTTCTTTTTCCTTGGGAAGGGAAGGATGTGGGAAGGATGGAGAAAGGGGGCGGAGCAGGGCCTGAGGATCCGGGGAGCTTTGCAGCAAGCCACTTGTCTCTCCCCTGAAACAGAGAATAACCACATTTCTCTTAATGTAGGCTGAAGGGCATCCAGGCGTTCCCAGAGCTCTGCTACCCCCAGCCCTGCGCTGGAGACGCGCGGGTCACTGTGATGGTATGCTCTCGTCCCTGCCAACCCGGGTCACTCCAGCCCTGCCCTGAAGGGCAGCCCAGCCATGTGGCTGCTCCTCTCTGCGAGTGGGTTCAGGCTCAGGGCTCCAGAAAGCCCCCCGATCCTCTCAGCCCCGGCAGAGCCGCTGCCAAGAATGACATCCTGAGATTACTATGAAGATGGGGAGACCTCACGGGCCACTCTCCCCGGATGGAGCGGGACCCAGGCTGTCTGGAAAACAGGCAGAGCAAAGAGCGAGCTCACAATGGAAGGAGCTCAGGAGCGCGGGGGGGTGGGGGGGTGGGGTGGGAGTGGTGGAAAGCCAAAGAAAATAAAAGCCACATGCCACCCAGGAAGATTCCAGGGCGGGCGGGAAGGGGGAAGGAGGTGGCGGAGGAAGGACTTGCCGGGAGCAAGTACCCAGACATGGCACTGCCAGTCTCACTGGATTCTTTTCTGAATTAGATTATGCGAAAGAAAGCGGGGAAATATATAGCCGGCCAGCTGTTCAAAGGCTTACAACCTTGCTTTTATTGTCCGGGTAAGTTGGTGAGGTGGGGCATCAGAGGAATTCCAAACATACCATCCCAGACAAATTTTAATATGTTCCCCAGTGTCATACACGAAGAGGAAATGACAGCTGATCACAGCCAAGGCAGGCCACAGCGATCTGGGCCCTGGAGCTCACCCAGCCACCAGCCTCCGCCCTAGTACTTCTATCTGTCCACCTGCCTCCCCATCCCTTCTGCCCTTACTGGCCCTGCTGGGTTTGGAGGGTGGTGGGGGCTGGACAAAGTAGCAGGAGCTGACGTTCATGGGAAGAGGTGAGGTTGGCCTTCAAGGCCGCTGGCCAAGAAGCTGAGGCTGGCTAGGGTGAGTCAGGCACCCCAGGGAGTCAGAGGCATTTTAATCCAACCACGGGGGATTATCTGCTGATAAGGGCTGAATCAAGGACTCTGGTGATGCTGTCTTCAGGGTCCCCCCCCCACCACCAACGCCCCCAGTAACCTACCCAAGCCAGAAAACAGAAGACTTCGTTATGTGAAAGCAACCCTGTGTGTGGCTCTGATGGGGACCTGGGTTTTAGGGAACGACTTCCGGCATCTTCTTCCCAGGGGCCCCTTGAATTCAAGCCAGACCCAGAGGTCACTGGTTTGGATCCTGGGGGCGGTTCAAGTAAGTGGTGGGAGCCAGTGATAGCATCTTGCTCTGTGCATGTTTCTAATTCAGTGATTCATCCAGTGGCCCTGATGTCAGCTGCTGAGTGTAGGTGACTCACAGCCATCCCTGATAGAGATAGCACGTGGTCCTTTCCCAAGTGTGCTCAAGGGAACAGAGAAAGGATAAACTGCCCTTTTTCCAGGCTTCCTCTACCCAGGAGGGAAAGATCCGGGCTATGCTAGCTGTGAGTGATGTGTACCCAAGATTCGGTGATAAAGGCCTCAGGGGAACCCCTTCGTCACAAATGGAAAGAAAACCCACTGATAAGCGACAGTCGTTGCAAATAAATTGGGGTCTCAGCAGATATTTGAAATGGGCCTTTGTAACAAGGCAGTCATGGACCCGTTTAGCCATTGGCAAAGTCCGTGTCAGTCCCCAAATCTAACTGGAGATAGCATACAGACAGAGAACTGGGCCTTGGGACAATACCTTAGTCACCTTCGCATCCAGCAGGACTAGCATCATTTCTTAAAAGGTTGATGGCATGAATAATTCACTAGTAAGAATAATAGCGCTTGAATTGTGAGTCCTTCAAGTACAGTAGAAATTGCTGGCCACCATCGGTGGCTAGGATGCCGAGAAATTCACATTTTTCGAGGGCCCAGGAAAATAAATGAGTTGGAAATTGTTAAATGTATTGAAAAATGATTTATTTTCCCCTTGACAGCGTCATTGGAACTCGAATTAAGATTGAAAACTCCACAGGCATATTTCCATCTGGGGGTGTCAGCTGCTTGGTACACAGAGGGTCAAGAAGTCCTCCACCAAGTTCCCCCTTTACCTGAACCAAATATATCTTAAAGCAAATGATGCAAAACTTGGCGTTCTGGGTTCAGACACTCTCGTAAAATGATCTGAGTAACAGTACCAGAATATTGCTTTGACTCAGCCCACTGCTTTGTTAACAGCAGGAGTTTTTAAAGAGGAGTTTAAAAAAAAAAGAAGTCACTGCAAAATTGCATAGCAATAGAATCCATAGTATCTTTTCAGGCTTTCTCAAATCGTGAATATCCCAGGGCTGTAAATTAACTCTTTCAAAAGCTGGGTTTTCACTCAACAATGCCCCTTAGGCTAGTTATTAAAGGAGATCAGGAAGGTTCCCCCATAAGCCACGTTCCCGCTCCACAGTGAAATCTGGTCAAGAAGACCCTCAAGTTTAATTTCGGAAGCCAGACCGGTGAGAAGAAAATGGGCCGATATTTGCATTTGGTCTAAAGGCCCCCTTGAGAAGCATTCTGCAGCTCCCTGGCCCCCCATTCGTTGACACCCACAGCCCACACTGCATTTTAGGCGTCTCTACGTTTTCAAACACACCGGGGATTTAATATCCTGTGTTGGAGCAATTTGCCGATGCCAGGTCCTTGTCATTAAAATACACTATTATTAGAAATGAGACATTTCGCAGCATCCGTATCTGTTATCAATGACAATTACAAAGGACAGAAAGTGGGACTCCCGTCTTGCCAAAGTGCTTCCTTTCCTGCACCTCAATCTCAGTGGAGAAGGGAGTCATCTCTTCCACGCAGGTTTATCTGGGCTTCTGAATTACAATGAGCCTCAGTTACAGGGCGTTCCGAGTCATTAACATTCTGTACACAAACTTCCCGTCCCCCAAGAAAGAGTTTTTCCCAGGCCTCCTACAGCCCAATTGTTAAAGAGAGAACTTGCATTCAGGAGCTTGAAAGAACCCCCACCCCCCCCACCCTGCCCGAATATTCCTCAGGTGTTCGTAGGAGTCATTCCTACAGGTCCCCATCTCTGCGCCGGTGGGAGCATCCTTTCTCGGTCACCGTTTGGACAGTGTGGCAATAAGGCCAAGGCAAACAGCATGCATTTCCTCGGACTTTTTGCCCAATCAAAATCCTATAGTAAACCCATCCTCCTCTCTCCCCAGTGCTCCTGCCTGCGTCTATGGAAGTGAAGTCCTTGCACATTGGAAGGAGAGTGCAAAGGAACAGGATTCCTGCAAAGCGTGATACAGAAAGCTAGAAATAAATGTTGCCTATTGTTTGAAGTCATTCTAAGCACTCCGGCGGAGCCCTGGCAGGAGATCAGCAGCATACAGAAGTAGTAATAAAAGTAAACAGTGCGCTTTTAAACTCTCAGGCTTGCCCGCGTTCATAGTGCCCCCATTGTAACAGGGATGGGGGCAGTGGGGAAGAAACTGGGGCTTCGGGAATCCATGTCGTCCAATGCTGCTTCCCAGTCTTCCTTTCACTGGGTCAAATAGAAGAACCATTACAAAGTTACATTGAACTACGCAGAGAGTTTGAAAATGAAATCCCTTTCGGTCAAACCCAAAGGGATTTTCCAGCCTCTCCGTGAGGCTCCCCTGCTCTGTCACAGACTTCAAAGACCCGTTCGTTTAAAAAAAAAAAAAAAAAGAAAAGAAAAGAAAAGAAAAAAAAAAAAAGAAACCCACAAAGCTAGCATACTACCGATTAATGCAAATTCAATTAATGCAAATTTAAGTGGTATTTAAAGGTTTTCTCTTTGTCTGAGAGGAGGATGAAATGCTCGGTTTGGAAAGAAGTAATTTCCTAGGCAAGCCGTCAGCGCTTGTTTTCCTGCTTACCTTTGGGGGGAAACGCAGGGCTCCTTTCTTCTCAGACTTTTCTGAGAGCTAGAAAGAGGTCCTGTTACTTCCAAATGCTTTTGTTCTTCTGTCCCTCTGTCACATGGCTTGCCTTTTATATTTGCAACACACAAAAGTTAGGACTGTTGTTTAAGCGACACAGGGAGAGAGAGAGAGGGAGAGGGAGAGGGAGAGAGAGAGAGAGAATGTCAAATGGAAAAGTGCCATTGCAGTCATATATCAATCAGGCGTGCGGCCGCAGCAGCGCTCTAGCAAATGGGAATGCCAGGGAAATGTGAGGCGCTCCTTATCGGGGACTCAGCCACTGCCCACCGCTCGGCTCCCTTCCACGGAGCATCTTACGATGGGAACAGCATAGAGGAACAAGGGCAAGGGCAAGGAAGTGCCCTTTCTTTCTTTCTTTCTTTCTTGGGAAATAATAAGAGGCTAAATGAATATTCTGGGTTTAATTCTTTGGCAAGCATGCCATCGAGATGGGCAGTCCGCGGTGAAGACGCATAGTTTGGGAAACACAGAGACAGTGGCATTCTGTTTCACGATTCCGCAGCTGCCTGAGATGAAGCTGAAATTTTAAGGAAGGGGGAGAAAGATGGGGGTCAGAACGGCTTCGCAGGCTATACCGCTGAGGCAAGTGCAAAACGCTGCCCTGTTTTATCACGACCTGTGTGGGTGGCGAGAGCTTTTTTTCTGTGTTGTTCATCCATTATGTGATTTTTAGCGGCACGTACGCGATTAAATCTACAAGGGCACTTTACTAGTGCTGTCATCTGCATCATTTAGAATAAAACTCTCCCTAGGATTTAGAAACAATGGAAAAGTGACAATGGGAAAGTGTAGTCCCTGACTCCTTGGAATAGAGGAGGGTGAACCTAACAGGTAAGGCCAAACCACCTCCAAACGGCTCGTTTTGCAGAAAAGTGGCAAAGGTCACTGGGGAAGGGGGGGCGGTGGTGGGGGTTAAGTACTCCTGCTAGCCAGTAATGCCCTTATGAGCTGTGAAAATACAAAGGGAAATAATTCCTTCAAGAGCTGAAAATTGAGGCAGAAAACCATCGAACAATTTTGGTGGACGACACAAAGAACCACTGAACCATTTATAGCTTAGTTGTCAGACGGACCCAACCCCAGAATAATTTTTTTATTAATACTGGTGAAGAATTAAACTGAGAATATTTTTTTTGAAAGGCATTTCAGGGTAGAGTAAATATAATTCTAAAACTGAAGAAGAAATTTCTCTCGGGAGCTCCATATAATTGTTAATGCTGGAACTGTCATGTTCAACTGTAGCAAATCATTTATTAGTCATTAATAAATTGATTATCACATCATTACTTTGCCACAGAACTTTTTATTCCAAACAGTCACTGGTGTTTAGAAGAGGCGTTTTCCGGTTTTCAGTCTGACCTCCACCTTTTCAGCGAAACCCTGCCTACCTGGGAGCTGACAGTTAGAAACAGAGTCCACCTACAAGGATAAAGGATAAAGGACAAGTTCAAAGCCTCGCAAGAAAACCTGGCACGAGGCCGATGGTGATATTGGCTGAATGTCTTAAAAGCAGAAGATCAAACAGCAAATGGAAATTGGGCCTTAAAATGGAAATAATCTGAAAGGGGAAATGACTTGGAGCTGACTAAGAGCCATGGAAACAGTCATGAACACATTTTCTGGCTCAATCCTGTGGGTCAGATTGGGAGGCAGGATAAACTCTTCGGCCACCAACATTTTCAAATATCAGAGCCTGATGCCCATCCACCTTTTCATCTCCCTTAACAAATCATTTGTGCCTTTCCCGGCATATGTTCCCCCATTCCCCTCTATGATCTTCTGCCTTTAGGTTCTCAGAGCCGTTTTATCTGTTCCGAAGTAATGCAAAGAGGTACGGTTCTTCCTGGTTGCAATTTTTCAGCCTTCTACCATCTGCCCTTCCGCGAGAACCCCGCAGAAAGTGTAAGGATTGCAAACACATTGACTGCTTGGCCACAGAAGACAGGCTTCCTCCCAGATGGAGCCCCACTGCTTCCTCCAGCCGTTTTTCTTTCAGGGGTGGCAAAGAATACCATCTGCTGTCCCTTTCCAGAGAAAGCCTTTGCCTCCGCCCATCGGGCTCCAGAAGACCCGTTTCTGAGCCTACCAGTAGGTATCTGGCAACAGCAACCCTTTTCATCACATCATCATGCTTTGCAGAAAGGTCACTGTGTAGAGAAGGGGGTGTCTATCAGCTGGAAGGGATCCCTTCCGAGCCTTTCATTTCGGGTATTGCTTTCGGGTTGTCGCTCTCTCTTTCTTCATAGCTCTAGGGACAATTTAGGGGAGTCTCCCAGCAGCCAAACACCTGTGAAGGGATGAGGAATCCCAAGACAGGTCCTGCTTCCTCCCTGTAGAAACTGAGGGGAGCAGGTATGCCCTTTCTCCACTTTGGGCAGCTGGAGAGCCAGGCGCAACCCAGCTTGGCTCACCGAATGTGCCATCCAGGAACAGTGGCCAAGGCGTGCAGGCATTCAAGGCTCATTCTCTCTGGTTGCACTGGAATGGAGAACCCAGAGGATGCTACAGCCAACATCAGCGGCCACAGAGCCCAGCCATGTGATCAATGATGGTTATCCTGGGGACACAGGGTCTGAGAAGTCATCCTCAGCAATTTGCTTTTTGGGGCTACATCTGTATTCACCATTTTATGAGCCTGGATCTTCAGCTTTCCTGGTGATTCTGTGAACTGCCCCCCATCACCATACCCACCAAGATCCTGCCAATAAATTCCTTTCTGCTTTCATGATCTAGAGACACTTTTTGAGCCTGGCAACCAGGAGTCCTGACTTGAACATTACATTTTCCAAATTTAGGCACACCAACATCCTTGGCATACAAATGGCCTTTACTTCTTCCTACTTCCTTTCTCTAAATAAGCAAATGTTTTCAGATTCATTGTCGGTCTGCTATAGTCTCTGTTGTAAAATTTCAAAGGTAGGAAATTCCTATGTGGGCATCTAACAAGTCCCATAGTTCTTATGTCGATATCAATACTTATCAAGGTACCCGCTGAAAACCCATAACATTTGATATCATATCTGCATGGATAAAGGTAGGTGTGTGTGTGTGTGTGTGTGTGTGTGTGTGTGTGTGTGTGTTTAAAATCCCACATCCCAGCATAATCTGCTAGGCATGGTTTATAACTATCTATGAGAATAGTAATTTTACCATCCTCATGAATATGATAGATAGCATTCATTCAAAAATACCTATCAATAATAATAACTATTTAATGGGTGTGTACTCTCCCCTGGGCTCTGAGCCAAATATTCTGTATGTATTCTCTCTTTTGGAGAGATACACAGTATCTCTCTTAAACACCGTATTTATCTGTCAGGTAAATACTATTATTCTCTCTTATAAATGATGAAATTGAAGCTCTGGGAGGTTAGGTTACTTCCCTGTGGTTGGCACAGCAAAAGCAAATAGCAGATACAAGCTCTGGCTTTCCTGTCCTCAAAGGGCGATGGCTTAACCACCAAGCCATCCTGCCCCATTTAACAGAAATTCACCAAACAGAGTTTTTATAGTTATGACCTGCTATTTGTGAGAGGTACAAATCAAAGCAAGAAATGGATCTGGGGGCGCCTGGGTGGCTCAGTGGGTTAAAGCCTCTGCCTTCGGCTCAGGTCATGATTCCAGGGGCCTGGGATCGAGCCCCGCATTAGGCTCCCTGCTTAGCGGGGAGCCTGCTTCCTCACCCCTCTCTCTCTGCCTGCCTCTCTGCCCACTTGTGATCTCTGTCTGTCAAATAAATAAATAAATAAAATCTTAAAAAGCAAAAAGAAATGGATTTGGTTCTTTGGGCATTTAGGATACTACTGGGAAAAGAGAAATGTTTGCTTATGAAAACACTGCCAGGTAGAATGGGACCCTGGCTGCAAAAAAAAACCACAATAGGTACAATAAGATTGGTGCTGGTACGTCTAGGAGAAGTCCACTGGGTCTGGGCTTTGAAGGCACCAAGTGGGAACCAGAAGGCGAATGAACGTGGGTTTGTAGAGGAGCACATAGAAGCTTGGCTGGGCCTAATCCGATGCTGTGATGGTCTGGGGAGACAGGGTTAACAGAGGAGAAGGCAGGCTCAGAGCTGGGCCAGACGAGTTCCCGAAGGAGAGACTAGAATGGAAAGGCAGCCCAGGACAAAAGAAGAGTTATGTGTACCAAAGGAAAGGACAGAGACAGAGGCTCCAAGGTACATAGAAAATGGGCACTTTCATCCATCCATATGTCCACCCAACAAGTATTCTTTGAGTGTCTTCTACCTTCCAGATGTTCTCAACCTGGGGATCCCAGGACTAGATACAACAGAAACGTTTCTATGGTAATGGTGGAGGAGTATGTCAGTTAAGACACTTTCAAGGCAAATAACCAAAAAAACCTTGAGTCTCAGTAGCTTATTTTTATTTATTTATTTTAAGATTTCACTTATTTAGAGAGAGAGAGAGAGAGAGACAGAGCACGAGCAGGAGGGGCAGAGGGAGAGACAGAATCTCAAGCAGATGTCGGGCTGAGTGTGAAGCCTGACTCGGGGCCTGATCTCATGACCCAGGGACCATGTCCTGAGGCGAAACCAAGAGTCAGCTGTTCAACTGACTGTACCACCCCAGATGGCCCCCCAGAACGTTAGCTTTTATTTTTATTTATTTATTTTAAGATTGAGTCTCAGTAGCTTAAAACATAAGGACAGTTATGGTCCTTCATCAAGAAGCAGGTAGGTCTAGGGTGGGTACAATGGCCGCAGTATCGTCAAAACCTCAAGCTCCCTCCACTTCCATCAGGCTCAGCACTGTTGGTGTCTGTGCTCCCACAGGTTAATTTGTGAACACGAGACAGCCAGTGGAGCTCTAGAAATCACCTCTAAATTCAGGACAGGAATCAAGAGGAAAGGAAAAACGAGCTTGCTCTTCGCCTGCTTCTTTAGTCAGAAAGAAAATCTTTCCAGAAGCCCCAGGGGCTACCCTTGCATCCCACTGACCAGAATGTAGCCACATTGTCCCCCCCACCAACAGTGATCTCTACAAAGGGAAGCACAGTGGTTGTGACTGTCTTGGTGTCATCATGGTCCGTGCCCCGAGCTGGGAGCATGGCCCATGGGACATAGTCAGATTCTTTGCGATAACAGAGAATG